ATGTCAATCAAAACAACAGAAACAATGCGAATGACCCGAACAATCAGGGTGTGGCATTTCTTGTGCCAGAAGAAGCCTTGTATGATTGGGCACAACCCACTGCTGAAAATCTAGCAACCATAATTGCAGTCCCTCAGATACAAGCAGAGTCTTTTCAAATCACAAACAACATGCTACATCTGTTGCAGAACAATGGACTGTTCTCAGGGTCTTACATTGAAGATCCTCAGCAATATCTAAAAAATTTCCTGTCGATTTGTGTCACGTAAAGGAAACCAAATATGACACCGGAAGTAATAAGGTTGTTGTTGTTTCCATTCTCAGTGACGGGAGAGGCTCAAACTTGGCTTAATTCGCTCCCTATAAACTCAATCTCTACTTGGGAGGAATTAGTCAAGCAGTTTTTGAACAAATTATACCCACCCAATAAGACTGCCAAGCAAGTTGATGAGACATTGAGATTCAGGTAGAAACTAGCTGAAACATTGCAAGAGACGTGGGAGAGATTCAAAGGGATGCTGGTTAAGAGTCCACACCATGGCATTCTGAATCAGATGTTGGGACAAAGATTTTACATGGGATTGGCAGATAGATTGAAAGCCAACCTTGATGCTTTAGCAGGTGGAGCATTTTTGAGTAAATCATTTAGAGAGTGTAAGGTTTTGCTTGGTAAAATGGCTCAAAACTCAGGATGGATGAGAAGGGACTCTACAATCACTACGGTAGTTCACTTAGTAGCTCTAGACCTAAAGAACTCCATGTCTCAGAATATGGATACTATGATGACGCAATTGAGTATCCTCACCAAAAAGATTGATGAGTCGGGCCAAAAACAGGTGCACATAGTTGACACGACAAATGGAGGATTATGCACACAATGCAATAACTAGCCATATATATGCTCGTGGAGTGGTGAGAGTGATAATCAGAACTATCAAGAGAATATGAACTTTGTGGGAAATTATGGAGGCCAGAGGAAAAGTGGTCAGAATTGGGGGCAGCAAAATCAACAGTACAGACCAGCACAACAACAGTACAATAACAATAACAATCCTGGAGCTAGGCAACCACAGAGTCAAGTTATGCCTTACCAAAGGCAACAGGGATACAATCAGCAAAATCGGCAGGCAGCTTATCAACATCCTCAACAACAACAGATAGTGAGACAAGATGACGGGCTGTTCGAAATTAAAGGAATGTTGCAATATCTCATTGGGTCCAGCAAAAAAATAGAAAAAAGGTCCACTAGATGCAAGAAAAGGTAGTATCACACGACTCAACTATCAAGGGCATTGAGATTCAACTAAGGCAAATATCCATGGCCCTTAACAATCGTCCTCATGGGACATTACCTGCGGACACACATGTTAACCCGAAAGAGCAGGGCCCGAAGCAGCTGATGGCTGTGAGTATGCGAAATGGGAGAGATCTTGATTTAGATCAAGAAATTGCTCGCAAAAACCGACCAACTGAAACACTTGCACCAGTACCACTTGAGATAGATGAGTCAATTGATTTAACATAGGTAACAATGCAACAGGCCCAAGAGGAAACAAACAAATAAAAAGAGGTGGCAAAGGAGACTTAACAAGTGCAAGAGAAGGTATCAGAAAAAGTGCTTGAGCAAGATTCAACTCAAGTCATAGGAAGGAAGCGACCTCCAACACCCTTCCCGCAGAGGTTGGCTAAATATTAGAGGGATGAGAAGTACAAAAAATTCATGGCGATGTTGAAGCAGATTCAGGTGAACATTCCTCTGATAGATGCCTTGCGAGAGATGCCAGGTTATGCAAAAATGATGAAGGACTTGATGTCTCGCAAGTTTGAATTTTAAGACCTGGCCACTATGACATTAACCCAGACTTATAGTGCTGTGGTGACAAGACCAGTAGCTGAAAAGTTATCCGACCCTGGAAGTTTCACAATTCCATGCACCATAGGCATCTATGGTTTTGCTAAAGCATTATGTGATTTGGGGGCGAGCATAAACTTGATGCCATTGTTTATCTATAAAAGGTTAGGCATTAAAAGAGCAAGGCCCACATCCATGTTACTACAGCTAGCCGACTAAACGGTGAAAAGGCCATCAGGTATACTTGACGATGTACTTGTGCAGGTTGGAAAGTTTGCGTTTCCGGCAAATTTTGTCATTCTGGATTGCCCGGTTGATGAAGAGATTCCCATAATTTTGGGAGGGCCATTCTTGGCCACAGGGATAGCTATGATTGATTGTGAAACTAGGAAGCTAAAGATGAGACTGAACGATGAAGAAATAACATTCAATGTGCAGAAGTCTATGTGGCGACCCCGTGAGTTTGCTAACTATTTTCTGATTAAAGCTGTGGATGTGATTCTGGAGGAGGAAGATGAGACACTAAATGCAAAACACCCTCTAGCAGCCTGCCTGATGAACGTAGAAGAGGTAGATGGTGAGGACTTGGCGGAATGGGTTTTGGCCCTTGAAGGCCAAAGATACAAGAAAAGAGAGCTCGAATTCGAGCCCTTACACTTAGAAGAAAGAAAGACCCCTCCAGCTAAGCCATCAATTGAACAGCCACCACAGTTGGAGCTAAAACCGTTACCGTCTCACCTCAAGTATGCTTTCTTAGGACCTAGTTCAACATTACCTGTTATTATCTTATCTGGTTTGTTAGATGTGCAGGTAGAACAACTTTTGCAGGTTCTGAAGGAATGCAAGACTGCAATTGGGTAGACCATTGCATACATAAAAGGTATTAGTCCATCATTTTGCATGCATAAGATTTTACTGGAAGATGGGCACAAACCTTCCAGAGAACATCAGAGAAGGCTGAACCCCAACATGAAAGAAGTGATGAAGAAAGAAATGATCAAGTGGTTAGATGCGGGAATCATCTTCCCCATCTCTGACAACAACTAGGTCAGCCCAGTTCAGTGTGTGCCAAATAAGTGTGGAATGACTGTAGTGCAAAATGAGAAAAACGAGTTGATCTCAACAAGAATAGTCACAAGATGGCTAATTTGTATGGATTATAGAAGACTGAACAAGGCCACCCGAAAAGACCATTTTCCGTTGCCGTTCATTGATCAAATGTTAGATAGATTGGCGGGGAGGTCCCATTTTTGCTTCCTGGATGGATACTCGGGGTATAACCAGATCTCTATTACCTTGGAGGAAAGAGAAAAAACGCCGTTCACCTATCCGTATGGCATCTATGCCTTTTGGAGAATGTCATTTGGCCTATGCAATGCTCCCGCCACATTCCAAAGGTGCGTGATGGCCATCTTCACAGATATGGTAGAGGACATAATGGAGGTTTTCATGAATGACTTCTCAGTCGTGGGGAAATCATTGGATGACTACCTTATGAATTTGAAAAGAGTATTGAAGAGGTGTATGGGGACTAATCTAGTACTGAACTGGGAAAAGTGCCATTTCATGGTACATGAAGGTATAGTCTTGGGACACCTAGTTTCAAGTAGGGGCATTGAGGTGGACCGTGCTAAGGTTGATGTAATTGAGAAGTTGCCTCCACCCACTTCCGTAAAGGCCATAAGAAGTTTCCTTGGTCACGCCGGCTTCTACAAGCGATTTATAAAAGAATTTTCTAAAATTGCTAACCCTTTGTGTAAATTTCTTGAAAAAGATCAACCCTTTGTGTTTTCTGATGACGACATGGTAGCTTCTGAAGAATTAAAAAAGAGGGTAGTGACTGCACCAATCATAGCGGCACCTAACTGAGAGCAACCTTTTGAGCTGATGTGTGATGCAAGCGACTATGCTGTGGGAGTAGTTCTTGGGCAGTGAAATGATAAAGTCATGCATCCAATCTACTATGCAAGTAGAACCTTGACTGGTGCCCAACTAAATTACATAGTGACCGAGAAAGAGATGTTAGTAGTGGTGTTCACATTTGACAAATTACGGTCATACTTGATAGGCTCGAAGGTAATTGTGTATACTAACCATGCTGCTGCTCTCAGGTACCTAATTGAGAAGAAGGAGTCAAAACTGCGCCTGATTCGATGGGTGCTACTGCTGCAAGAATTTGACTTGGAAATCCATGACCGAAAGGGAACGGAGAACCAAGTGGTTGATCACTTGTCTAGGCTAGAAGGAGTAGTGAAGAAGGTTGAGGTGGAAGAGATTATGGATACATTCCCGGATGAACAACTGTTGACTACGAGCCTTGATGTAGCGCCATAGTATGTAGACATTGCAAACTACCTGGCGAGCGGTATTGTCCCCTATGACCTTTCCTCTATTCAAAAGAAAAAGTTCTTTCGTGGCTATCACATGTATTATTGGGATGAGCCATATCTGTTCAGGATTTTTGTTGATAACATGATCCGTATATGTATCCCCGAGAAATGCCAATCTTTTGTTTTGAAAGCTTGTCACACATCCCCATATGGTGGCCATTTCAGGGGAGTAAGGATAATCGCAGAAGTGTTGGAGTCGGGCTTTTACTGGCTGACATTGTTCAAAGATGCACACCTATGGGTGAAGGGTTGTGATGAATGCCAATGGACCGGGAATATTTCTCGCCGACATGAGATACCCATGAACCCAATTCAGGAGGTGGAAGTGTTTGATGTATGGGGAGTCGATTTCATGGGGCCTTTTGTCAGCTCATATGGCAACAAGTACATACTTATAACTGTGGACTATGTGTCAAAATGGGTGGAAGTTGTGGCACTCCCTACAAATGATGCAAAGAGAGTCATTAGTGTTTTTTAGAAAGAATATATTCACCCGGTTTGTCACTCCAAGGGAAATAATCAGTGATGGAGGCACTCACTTCTACAACAGAGCTTTCTCAAAGTTGTTAGAAAAATATGGTGTTCGCCACAAGGTTTCCATATCATATCATCCACAAACAAGCGGGCAAGTGGAAGTGTCGAATAGAGAAATAAAGAGTGTGTTGACAATGACCGTGAATGCTGCAAGAACGGATTGGGCGAAAAAGTTAGACGATGCACTCTGATCCTATCGTACCGCTTTTAAAACTCTAACTGGCATGTCTCTAGATAAACTGGTATTTGGGAAAGCATGTCACTTACCCGTGGAGTTGGAGCATAGAGCTTTGTCGGCATTAAGGCAGCTGAATCTCGACATGGAAATAACGGGTACACGTAAAGTCATACAGTTGCATGAGCTTGATGAGTTTCGCTCCCATGCTTTTGAGAGTACAAGGCTATATAAAGAGAGAATGAAGATAATGCATCCTCCACTTCCAACCAAGAGGTAAGGTGGGGAGTTCTTGGAGGGAGGGAGCCGAGGGTCTATCGGAAACAGCCTTTCTACCCCAAGGTAGGGGTAAGGTTTGCGTACAAACTACCCTATCCAAACCCCATTAGAGGGATTATACTGGGTTGTTGTTGTTGTTGTTGTTGTAATGAAGATGATGCATAAAAAAAATATTCTTGAGAGAAATTTTATACCTAGAGATGTGGTATTGCTATACAATTCGAGATTGAAGCTGTTTTCGGGCAAGTTAAAGTCAAGATGGTCAGGACCATTTCGTGTGGTAGAGATGCATCCTGCCAGAGCTGTAGAAATTGCATCAGAAGATGGCTCCCGCAAGTTCAAAGTTAACAGGCAAAGTCTAAAATATTATCAAGGCATGGTTGGGGAAGATAAAGTGATCTCGACCATGTACTTGAAGGATCCTTGATAAGGGATGGCCCGAGTCGTGCCGCGACGTTAAATCAGGCGCTTCATGTGAGGCAGTCCATTGTAATGTTGTAATTCGTCGTGCCATGACATTAAATCAAGCGCTTGTTGGGAGGCAACCCAATTTTCTTGTTTTCGTCTAGTTGTCATTTATTTTTCAAAAACAAAAGAAGATAACATAGGAGGTAGCAGCGAAGCGCAACTCGTTTTGCGAGACCGAGACCAAGAATGCTGATGAGCAAACTTTTGGGGGCAGCGCAGTGTCATGACCCAAAATCTCACCCTTCGTGATGGCGCCTATCTCAAAACTAGGCAAACCGACAATCTCAATAAAACACATATCTTTTAAATTTGAAAACACAATAATTAAATTCAGTGGAAGAAATCTCACAAGTACAAATATAAACACTCCCAAAATCCGGTGTCACTGAGTACATGAACATCTAATATGAATACAAGTTTGGAAAACACGATCTATAATAGTCTGAGACCAAATACAGTAAACAAGGAGATAGGGAAGGAGAGACAAGGACTGGCAAATGCAGCAGCTACCTCTGAATCTCCGAAAAATCAACTGTGCGAAAGAATCAACACCCACTATGTCCGGGAACACCTGGATCTGCACATGAAGAACAGGGTGTAGTATGAGTACAACCAACTCAGTAAGTAACAATACTAAATAAAGAATTGAAAGTAGTGACGAGCTTCACAGCTGAGTCCAATTATAGTAATTTCCAATATAATAAGATAGTTCAAGTTCAACATTTAAGGCCAAAAAAGTAATTTCATGTCAAGTTCAACTGAAACAGAAGATAATATCTCTCAAAAATTTCCAAAACAGTGATATATGACAGCTGAAGTGCAACAGTAATGAAATCAACTGTATCCTCTCAGAACCATAATCACTTAGCCATTTTATTCACTCAGCACTCAGCACTCGCACTCAGTAGGTACATGCACTCACTGGGAGTGTGTACAGACTCTGGAGGGGCTCCTACAGCCCAAGTGCTATAATCCGCACAGACAACTCACGTGATGCACAGACAACTCACGTGCTACAGTATAAATATCTGGACCCGCACGGACAACTCACGTGCTGCACGGACAACTCACGTGCTATAGTATAATATATGGATCTGCATGGACAACTCACGTGCTGCTCGGATAATTCACGTGTTGCACGGACAACTCACGTGCTATAATATAATATCTCATAATTAGGCCCTCGGCCTCACTCAGTCATAAATCTCTCCAGTCTCTCGAGCTCTCAATGATCATGAAATCAGCCCAAACAACAATGATATGATGCATCAATAATGAACAATAGAGATTGAGATAAAATAAATAAGTAAATTGTGACTGAGTACAAAATAACAATTAAGCAGATAGTTCAACATGTACACGATCTCTATGGGTCCCCACAGTGCCAACACATAATTTAAACATGATTTGTGGTTCAATTTCTCTACTACATGGAGAACGTACAGATAACAACAGATCTTTCAACTACACAGTTTCATGGAATTTGACCAAGTCACAATTCCTACAGTGCACGCCTACACGCCCGTCACCTAACATGTGCGTCACCTCAAAACCAATCATATAACATATAATCCAGGGTTTCATACCCTCAGGACCAAATTTAGAACTGTTACTTAACTCAATTCGAGCAATTCTTTATTTCAATAAGCCTTTGCCTCGCGAATCAGCCTCCGAACATCTCGAATCTAGTCACAATTAATTTGATTCAATCAATTCGAATTATTGGAATTAATTCCATATGAAAATACAATTTTTCCAACAAAAATCCGATATTGCACTCAAAAATTGCCTGTGAGGCCCATGCCTCGGAACCCGACAAAAATTATAAAATATGAATGCCCATTCAACCACGAGTCCAACCATACAAATTTTACCAAATTCCGACATCAACTCGACCCTCAAATCTTCAATTAAAGTCTTTGAAGATTTCTACCATTTTCAACCCAATTTTTACCCATTTGAACTCAACAATCTTTCCACAACCTTATTGGTACGTGTAGGTATAAATAATACTCTTACACCCAAGAATCATACTCTTGATCCCCCATCCTTTACTCCAAACTCAAAATTGAAGAATTTGGGGAAAGAAATTCTTACCTCTTTGAAGCCCTAGCAAGATCCTTGTGAAATCTTCAAGCCTTGGATAAGAATTGATGAACAAATGGCTAGGTCTTCACTTTCTCTCTCTAAGATGCTCTAACCTCTCTCTAAAATATCAGATGAAACCCTTCAAAATGACCCCTAATAGTGTTTTATAAGAATGGGGTCGGCTTTATAAAACCAGAAAAATGAATCCCCGAAACACACTATGCGATCGCATATAAGACCGCATAACGCTTCTGCGGCCCGCATAATGGGTCGCAAAAAGGCCCTCCGGAACTGGGCAACACTGCTTCAGTCTGCGGTCATTATGCGGCTCGCATACCTATTTTGCGGTCGCATAATGCACCGCAGAACTGGTATGTGGTCGCATAATGCGCCGCAAGCCTGATCTCCAAACTTGCCTCAACTGCTTCACTCTGCGGCCATTATGCGGTCTGCAGAGTAATTCTGCGGCCGCATAGTGGGCCGTAAAAATGTATTTTCCTGTCCGAAATTTTTCTTTTACTCACCAGCATATTGTTCAATTGATTTACCTTGGCGCCACAAAACCTTAATTTTCTTAGCAAAAATTCTCCGGGGTCGTTACACATAAGTCAACATCCGGTCAACCTTTCCAACTTAAGTTCTAAACCTTTGAACTAAGTGTTCCAAATCATTCCAAAACCTCACCGGTTCTGAACCAATTACCCCTACAAGTCAAATATTAATCGTAAAACATAATTTGAACAGTAATTTGGGGAGACGGGGTTGTAATACTCAAAACGACCAACCGGGTCATTACATTCTTCCCCTCTTAAACAAACGTTCGTCCTCGAACGGGTTTAGAATTATACCTGGAGTCTCAAATAGGTGTGGATATTTGCTCCGCATTTCCCGCTCAGTCTCCCAAGTAGCTTCTCTGACTGGCTGGCCTCTCCACTACACTTTCACTAAAGTTATGTTGTTTGATCTCAACTTTCGAACCTGCCGGTCTAAAATGGCCACCGGTTCCACATCATAAGTCAAATTACCATCCAACTGCACTGTGCTGAAATCCAAAACATGAGACGGATCCTCGAAATACTTCCGGAGCATAGATAGATGAAACACTGGATAGACTAGGCGGCAATGCAAGTTCATAAGCCACCTCTCCAATCTTCTTAAGCACCTCAAACGGCCCAATATACCGAAGGCTCAACTTGCCCTTCTTCCCCAACCTCAACACACTCTTCATGGACGAAATCTTGAGCAGAACCTTGTCCTAACCATGAAAGCAACATCACGGACCTTCCGGTCAAAATAACTCTTCTGTCTAGACTGCGTCGTGTGAAGCTGCTCCTGAATCAATTTAACCTTCTCCAAAGCATCCTGAACCAAATCAGTACCCAATAGCCTAGTCTCACCCGGCTCAAACCAACCCACCGGAGACCGACACTATCTCCCATATAGAGCCTCATAAGGAGCCATCTAAATGCTTGATTGATAGCTATTATTGTAAGCAAACTCTTCAAGCGACAGAAACTGATCCCAAGAACCTCCAAAATCTATAACACAAGCGCGTAGCATATCTTCCAATATCTGAATAATGCGCTCGGACTGCCCGTCCGTCTGAGGGTGAAATGTTGTACTCAGCTGAATTTGTGTACCTAATTCTCGTTATGCTGCTCTCCAAAACTGTGATGTCAACTGCGTACCCCGATCTGAAATGATGGACATTGGCATACCATACAGGCGAACAATCTCGCGAATATAAATCTCAGCCAACCGCTCCGAAGAATAAGTAGTACCAACTGGAATAAAATGCACGGACTTGGTCAACCGATCTACAATCACCCAAACAGCATCCAACTTCCTCAAAGTCTGTGGGAGCCCAACTACGAAGTCCATGGTAATACGCTCCCACTTCCACTCCGGAATTTCAAGTCTATGCAGTAATTCGCCCGATCTTCGATGTTCGTACTTCACCTATTAACAATTTAAACACCAAGCTACAAGTCTAACTATATCATTCTTCATTCGCCTCCACTAATAGTGCTGCCTCAAATCCTGATATATCTTCGCGACATCGGGATGAATGGAGTACCGCGAACTGTGAGCCTCCTGCAGAACAAACTCATGCAAACTATCTATATTAGGAACACATAGCCTGCCCTGCATCCGTAATACACTGTCATCTCCAATAGTGACTTCCTAGGCATCACCATGCTGAACCGTGTCCTTAATGACAAGCAGATGTGGGTCATCATATTGACGTTCTCTGATACGATCACAAAGAGAAGACTGAGAAACCATGCAATCCAAAACTCAGCTCGGCTCGAAAATATCCAATCTGACAAACTGCTTGGCCAACACCTGAACATCTAAGGCATAAGGCCTCTCTGCTACCGGTAAGTATGCTAAGCTGCCCAAACTCTCTGCCTTATGACTCAAGACATCGGCCACCACATTGGCCTTTCTGGGGTGATAGAGAATGGTGATATCATAATCCTTAAGCAACTCCAACCACCTTCACTGCCGCAAATTAAGATCCTTCTATTTAAATAGATGATGTAGACTCCAGTGATTGCTATAAACCTCACAATGGACACCGTACAAATAATGCCGCCAAATCTTCAAGGCATGAACAATAGCTGCTAACTCAAGATCGTGGACTGAATAATTCTTCTCATGTACCTTTAATTGTCTAGACGTATAGGAAATCACCCTACCGTCTTGCATCAGCACTGTGCCAAGACCAATACACGACATATCACAATACATAGTATAAGACCTTGAACCTGTAGGCAACACCAATACTGGGACTGTAGTCAAAGCTATCTTGAGCTTCTGAAAGCTCTCTTCACATTCATCTGACCATCAGAACGGAGCACCTTTCTG